AAGGAGACATTTTTCTCCCGTATATGGTAAGCATCGTACCACAATTAACCTGTGGTGGATGCTTTCCCCCCGTGAATGTATGTTCACAAATCCTTGTGGACTGTGGACAACTGAAATAAACTGACATCCTGTTGCAGATGCAACCAAGACAGTATCTGTCACCCACCCTCTTTCTCTCAACTGCAGATGAGTGTCTGTTAAGGTCTTCAGCAACCCTAAAGACAGAGTCTTAGGAAGACATGTTGACTGGAATTCCTGCCCTAAGGATTGAAGATTGGCCTGTTTTAACTCTCTGTGAGTGCAGCAGTAGTGCTGTGATAATATTGTGTATCCAAGGTACTAACTCTTTGGACCCTTTCAAGTATCGTGGGGAAAGACCAGTACAAATTGAAAAGCCCTGAAAAAATCCCTCCCATTGCTGGAGAGACAGCCTGGGCTGTAGCTGCCCAAAGAAACATGACTCCACACACACACACTGGGATGAGACCCTCCTGGCTAAGAGGAGAATAAGAAAATTAAAGAGAATTCTATTAACCTAAGGATCAAGGGCTTTGAATTATTCCTAAGAGTAGAGGGATTCAGATTTGGGTTTTTTTTTTTCTTTCTTTCTTTCACTTTATTTTCTCCCAGGGAACTTTAAAATGAGATAGAAGACCATTTTAACATTTTGAACATCTTTATATTTCTCATCCTGGCAAGTATGTTTGGATTATCTTTATCTTACTGTTTAATCCCATTGCAGCCTCTGATTACCTATACTGGACAACATAGCTGAGCAAAATCTGAGAATGAGAAAAAGAACAGGAAAGCAAATTTTGAGCTTTAGTTACAAAATCTCTTTAGAGTCAATTTAATGAATGTAATATTTTAAGTCATTTCCAAGCCTTCTGGGAGCAAAGTCTAATTTGCCCACTGGGATTCCAGAAGGATCCACAAAGGAGTAGAGTTTGTTATTTGGGGGGATGGCTTCCTGAAGGTGTGAAAAGTCTGCCTCACAGGCAGGTGACCTCCTCCTCCAAAGGGCCCAGCCACACTCCTGCCTGACCACAGCCAGATAGATGGGGCCAATAAGATAATAGGACAAGAACTGTGAACACTGAGGGGTAATACTTGGTCCCCACTCCTTCTGTTCCACCAGGGAGAGATTTCAGCCACACCACCTCTGCTGGCCTCAGTCCCCACCCTTCCATGTCACCTTGCCGAGAGGGCAAGGATGAGTTAGTGAGTTTGGAAGAAGGAACTGAGTATGTTTAGCTTAGCGGCTGCCTCTTTCCTCTTAGGACATGTCCCTCTGGTCTGACCTCTGTCACCAGATAGGTGCTTGTGCCCCAGGTGAGACCTGAGGTTGACCAGCTCTGTCTGGGACAGGAAGGGGAAGTTTAGGGGTGAGATGAAGTTTTAACAAGTTCACTTCAGCCACACAGCCAGAGATACAGTCCCTAACCAGTTTTATTAGAATAAAGGTGATATTTTAAATGAAAATAAACATTGATTGATGGCATGAAAGGATGAATGCATATACAGTCTACCCACATGAAGCGGAATCGAGGATTCAGAGGTACAGGTGAGAGTTGATTTATTCAATAGAGAGTCCCCTAGAAGTCGTCTTCAAGTAAATCATCTTTTCTAAATCAAGCTTTTTTCTCTTACCTCCCACATGGCTAATCCTTTAATCCGAGAAAGTTTAATCCTTAATGTTCATTAATTTCCCATTGGTGGCTCCTAACAGTTAAGCCTTAACTTTCCAAGCCCACCAAGTAGTTAAATTATCTCAGTAAACAATTAGTGATTAGCGGATTAGGAGGCTCTTTTTAGCAAAGCTTGTTGTCAGCGTCTCTTAAGGTAGCTCAGGTCTGTAGTGAATAAAGCCACTGATGCAATCAGAAGAGTGCCAGTGACTCCTGTGTTGTCTTAGTTAATGCTAACAACAACCCAAGGTAGAGGTGAGGAAACAGGACATTAAGTAACTTGCCCAAGTTTGTAGATGCAGTAAGTAGCTCGTTCAGGGTTTGAACCCTGATATGCCTCCAAATGCCATGCTCAATCCACTACCCCATATTCATAGAATTACACACTATCAAGATTGGAAGAAACTTTGCAAGTCACTCAGTCCAACCTCCATCTACTGCCGATATCCTCCCAGGCATGACTTTCCCACCTCAGTGACGGGGAGTTCCTAAGGCAGCCCCTTCTACTGCGGGGCAGCCCTATTGCTTTGCCAACCCCTTTTTCCATGGAATGTCCTATAGATTCACTTCACTGGCCCAAGGTCCTTCTTCCCTTTGGAGGTAGCAGAGTTTCCATTCTTAAACATCCCTGCTCCTCCAGCTATTCCCCACATACCTTAATCTTCGGCCCTTCCCCGTCCTCCTAGGAAGCTCCTCTGAGCACAATCATTGTCTCAATAACACATCTGGGGTCTGGAGCTGGACGTAACATTCCAGGATGGAGCAGACCAGTGCAGAGTAGTGCTATATTATCACTGCCCTTCTTGTAAGCACCATTCCACCATGTGTTGTGTTTTTGTGGTGGGCATGGAGGGCTGATGGAAAGAGTACTGTTCCTCTGCTCAAAAGCCTACATGGCTCCCTAGTGCAAAAAAGGCATTTCCCAAATTGCATTTCCTGAAACACCAGCATCCCAGAATAAATGGGTGTTTTAAGAATAAAAAAGATCTGTGACTAGGTAAGTTTGGAACACACTGCTTAACATTCATTCATTAATAAATCTTTATTAGATGCCTGCTGTATGCCAGGTACTGTTCTAGTCACTAGATATATATTCATGGACAAAAGAAAGAAAATCCCTGTTTATGGAAACTATAGGTCAGACAAGAAATACTATGAATGTGTGAGGACCTTTTAGAAGACTTGCAACACACAGTAACACATCATAAGAGAAATGCTGATGCAAAAAAATAAGCTTAATTTCATTTATGTCAAGATACCCCAAGTGTAGGATCCTTGTATGATTACTAATATACTAGAGAACAGGATTTGAGTTACCTGTTTAGGAAACACATGCTCACAGCACTGAACAGATTACCCTGCCTTCAGCCAGTGTATCTCTTTATGTCACCACTGTTTTGTATGGAAACTTTCTAATGTAAAAGGATGCTAAAGGTCAGCCAAGAAATATTAAGAGCACAGCAAGCTCAGCCCAAAGGAGGGCTTAGAGGACACCACTGGGCATGTGGGAGGGAAGGGGGGTTGTCAAGAAACTAACAAATATGCAGAGGCATGGAGGACAGACGCTGCTTCCCCCACCAGGAGAGGGAGACCAATGGGGGGCTCAATTCTAAGAGAAAAGCAGCTGATCTAACAGCTCCCAAGCTGAGCATCAATGAGGCAGGTGGCCAGACTGGAAATGGGGCAGGATTTAGCCAGGGAAGTAGAAGCACCGGGTCAGGAATTCCACACCAAACAAGGTCAGGACGAGGAAAAAGCAGAATGGACGCAGTGCCCCAGGAAATCAGATACCTAGTCCACAAAGCCCAAGTCGGCTCCTGACAGCCCAAGGAGCTTTTCCCAGGAATCTGTGACCTGGAGCATCAAAAAGACAAGCTACCCTTTGCCCCTGGTAGAAAGAGCTAAGGACCACTTCCAACCCCAGCTGGCTTCCATTTACAATCCAACAGAACTCTTTTAAGCCCTTTTAAGTGAACCTGGTACTGCCAGGCAAGAGGGCACCAAAATGGCATAAAAAGCATCAGCGGGCACCTGAGCTCCTGCTCAAAACTTCCTCCAGGGTCCTCTCCTCCCCACCGCTAACTTCAATACCCTCGCTCATCGCTCCTTCAATTTCTTCACCCACTTCGGCCCCATGTTCCACTGGGTCCCTCTAGACTTCCATTTGGGACGCTGGCCTTAGCTTGAACCACCACCTGCCGGTACACGTGACTGTCAACATTTGCTCATCGTGCCAGCTCCAGGGCCCCAGCCCTGGCCCCTCCCTTCCCTCATCCCAGACTCTCGGGGCAGGGAGAGTGAACTCCGCAGACCCTTCTGGGTTGGGAGGGTGAGGCTGCACAGGGCCAGCTACCCTGACCAGCAAGTGAACCAGGTCAGAAGGGCCTGTGCTGTGTACAAGACGAGCCAGACACATTGGGAAGAGAGAAATAGGTAGAAAGGCCAAGTTTGGAGAGAGGCCGATATGGGAAGGGATTTGTTATTTGTGGAAAGCTCTTATTTGGTGGTGGGAAAAGAATGGCAAATATGTAACACAATATTTCTGTAACTATAAATAACATGCAAATACCTTTCCTAATGCAAACCATATGGAATCAGCTTTTCTGGGAGGCTTTTAAAAATAGGAAAAGGCAAGAGAAGGAAATAATATGTATTTAATCCAAAAGTGCTAAGCACTTTTCATACGTTGTTTGCTTAGTCCTCTCACTTCTCTTCTAGGGAAGGTCTTCACTTTATATATGGGGAAAATGAGGCTATGGATTAAGGAATTTGACCAAGGTCCCATGATAAACCACAGTTTGAAAGTAGATCTGTCAGGTTCCAAAGCCCTCGTTCTTTCTGAAATCAAGTACCACCTTCCCTAGAGGCAGGGGCTAGACTAGCTGACCTTCCTAGATTCTTCTCTATTGCCACAATATCCAGAATTGACTTGTTCCCAGCAGGTGCCCTAAGTCTTTCAGGAATATAAGGATCTATTGTGTGCACTGTGAACAATAACTTAACAGAGAAGATTTAAGGTGGTGGTAGCAACACTGAAAGTGCAACTGGGAGACGCTGGGCTCTGCCGCTGCCTTGTTGTGTGACCTTAGGTCAGTATCTGCCCTCTCTGGGCTCTAGTTTTCACATCTTGAAAATGCAGAATTGGGCTAGATGGTCAGGAAGGCTCCGTTCAGCTCTAACAGTCCTGTCTCTCAGGTGTTGGAGTTCGCTTTGGTGGTCTGAGGAGGATGTCCCCCAAGAAAGCCCACTTTAGAGCTTCCCCGAGCCGGGCCCAGTCCCTCTGCCCACCTCCACTGCCCAGTCCACACTGACCTGCACCTCCCGGGTCAGGGCCAGCTCCAGCAGCTGGCCAAAGTGCTGGCCCAGCGTGCTCAGGGTCTCACTCACACAGGCCTTCATCGACTTCAGGATGTGCTCATTCTCAACCTGGAGGCACCTGGAGAAAGAAACCCTGGGTGGGCCACTGTAAGGGGCAGGCACTCAGCCCAGAGCCATTTTAGGGGACAGATCCGGGCCTGCAACAGGCCTGGTGGCGATGTAAGTGGCCTGGGAAAATGACATCAGCTCCTGGGGAGTCAGAGATGGAATATTCCAAGGCTGGCTTGTCCCCTGGCTTCCTAGTGTTCAAAGAAGTGCTGGCCTGCAATAGGAGCTAACAGTCCATGTTGCCAGGAAGAAAGGCCATCAGAAAGCAGTCAAATCCATACCTCTGGGCTTCTCCCTGGGAGAACCTGCCATCATTGCGGCCAGGGTCTAGGGATGGTGGACGGGAGTCATAGAGGAGGGCTGCTGGTGTGCCAGGTATGCCTTGCTCACTCTAAAGGTATATGGCAATGCCTGTGACCCTTTAAGAAATAGCTACTTAAAGCGTGCAGACAGGAGCCTTTGGGGATTTTCCACTCACACAGGAAGATCAAGGTCAAATCCAGCCCTATGACCTGAGAATGTTTCACAACGGAAGGCCAAAGACCCCATGGCAGTCCTAGGAATGTCAAGTTCCAGGTTTTTCTTCTAGGGCCTGGGGGCTGGAAGGGGTGAGGGAGGGTGTCAACACGCACCCAGGTGTGCATACAGACAAGGTTGAGTGTGTGTACGTTTCTGAGTGTAGACGTATGTGTGTTTATGTATGTGAGATACGAAGAGATTGTGAGTGTATTTCTGTGATTGTATGTTTATATATCTGTGCATGTCTGTGAAATCCTTGTCAATGTGTATGTGAGTGTAAAGGTGTGTCTGCTTTCACCTTGTCTTGACTTTGGAGATCAAGGGGCTTCCCAAAGCTGGGGTAAACTCTTTCCTTGTTACCAACCCTCAAGAATCCTCTTTCTTCCTATGCCCAGGCCTCTCCTCTGCCTTTTACATTCTCCCAGGCCTGAAAATCGAGCAGAAAATCCCAAGGGAGTCTTTTAAGGTTGCTGATAAAAGTCAGCAAAAGGAAACTCCCAGACCACCACCAGGCCTCCCCACTCCCACTGTCCCTGTGGGAGAAGATGCCAGCCCCTTTCCCTGCCTGAGGACCGGCTGGCAGACCCTGTCTAGATTCACCCAGAGGCCAGATTTACCTCTCAGTGACTGCTGACAGCTCTGAGCACTTCTCCATTAGCAGCTTTTCAATCTGCAGAAAAATAGATCAATTTTATTCAATTCAGTGAGCACTGGTCGAGGACCAACTGCTGAGCTGGACCCTCTGGGGCATAAAGATGAAGAATCAAATCAGCCAATTTGTAAAACAGGCACATAAACTATAACACAGTGTGGTATGGATGGCAAAAGAGATCATCATCAGTTGCTTTGGGGGCTCAAAAAAAGAAAACTGAGCAATTAGTTATGCTGGGGGATCTGGGAAGCTTCAGAGAGGAAGGGGCATTTGAGCTGGGTTTTAAAGAATGAATAGAAGTTTACTGTCTGCAAAGTGGAGCAAGGAAAAGGGTAGAGCACTAAGGTGCAAAGAGATGCCAGAAGAAAGAGAAATAAAGGGGGATTTTCAGTGGTTTGCTTTGGACTTGGAGGAGATTCAAAACCATGGGCTTTGGAATTACACAGCCTTAGGTTGAATCCGGCTTATACCATTCACTGCATAACTTTGGGCAAGTTACTTAGGCTTTCTGAGTTTCTGTTTCCTCATCTATAAAGTGAGGACAACAACACTAGCTAATATTTTTAATTAATTTAATTTAATTAGGACTCAGCCCTCACAACACATCTATGAAATAAATGCTATTATTATACTCATTAGGATGATGGAACTGGGGCACAGAGAAGTTAAGTAACTTGGCAAGGTCACACAGCAGACAGAGCTGACACTTGAGCAGGCAGGCATTAAAGAGGGTGTATTTAACCATTGCACGTTGTCTCTCAGTGGTTGTGTTGGCCTCAGAGGTTGTTCAAGGTAAATGAGGTGTATGTAAAAACATCTAGCACAATTCCTAGAACAGAGCAGATACTCAGTAAAGGTCCTTACTGTCTTCTCTGCTTCCTTGGAAGTGGAGAGAGGTCCCTGAGACAAGAAGAGTTAGGACTCTACACAATTCAGACCCACTCTTCTAAAAGGCAACCCCATTCCGAGTGCCCACCCACGCCCATGCCAGGCAACCCACCTGGCCCATCTCCTGCGAGGAGCTCCTGCTAACAGCGCTGTACTCGCTGACCATGGAGCGGGCGTGGCAGGTCAGTCGCACGCTCATGCTATGGACACGCGCCCAGCGGTCCTGGGCCAGCTTCTGCCCGATCCTACGCAGCTCAGTGCTGATGACCCAGCCCCGCTTGAGCAGCAGCTGCAGGGGGTCTCCGGGGCCAGAACCGCCTGCCAGGATGAGGTCGCCCTGTGCATCCTCCTCCAGGCTGATGGGCTTTGCCTGCAGGACACACATGCACTCACACTCCGTCATGAGCTTCAGGTCCTCCATCCAGCGCTGGACCGAATCCACCTGCATCAGGTGCAGCCTGCAGCCGGGGAACAGTGCCATGAAGCCTATTAACACTCCACAATTTCCAAAGGTTTCAATTCCAAGCCATCTGGTGTTTACTAAACACCTACTATATGCTCATCACTGTTTCTTGCATTCACTTACCTTAATCCTCTTATTTCTCATTATGTCCATCTTACAGATAGTAAGATGTTTTGAGGGCAGATGACCAGACAAATCAGGCAATGAAATCTGACAGAGTAGCAGATTATCTTTACAATAAGAGGAAAATAGAAATAGCTTAAATATTAAATATTAGCTATGTCAAGTAAGCTACGGTACAGCTACATGGTTATATAATGTGCACTTATTTAAAATAATGCTTTCCAGAAGTTTATAGCAAAGAAAAATGTGTGCACTAATAAAATAAACCCACAGTATGCAAAGCAGTATGCAGAAATGTAAACACAATTATTATAACTATGTTTAAAAGCTATCTCTAGAAAAAATATTTAAAAGAAATATTAAAATGCTAGTGGTTTTTTATGGGTGGTGAAACAAAAAGATTTTTCATTTGTTTTCAACCTTTCTCTAATTTCCAAATTTACTTTCATAAGCATATATACTAATTTTGTAATGGAACAAAATTAACTCTATTTAGTACAACAGCATGAGAATATCCATTAGATCTTAAGATCTTTGTTAAATAAAATTCACTTAATCAAATAATAGTAATATCAGATCATTAACAAAGCTTTGAACGTTGCTTGAATGAATTATATTTAATATCACATAAGTGCCAGACACTGTGGGAAAAGTGGAGATCAACATGCCACACCTCCCCTCTCATGGAGCTTTTGATCTGCCTAAAGAATCAAGACATAGTAATGAGAAGTTAAAAAACAATAGATTTCAACATCATTCGAAGATTATGACAGAAGACGACATACACACTTAACCTTTAAGGCTGGGCTCAAGTCCCTTCGCCTTGGCTTGTAACAGTGTTCAAACTAGTCTTTCTGTTGCTAATCTTACCTGCCTCCAGCCATTCTCCACCTGCCACTAGTCATTCACTCATTCCACAAAACAGTATTCAGTGCCTACTATGTACCAAGTACTGTTCTAAGCTGGGCTATAAGAGCAAGCAAGTAGATAAAAGTCATTTCCCTTGTAAAGGTTACAAACAAGTGAGAGGACAGTCAACTTCCAAAGTAATTTCCAGAATAAATAAGCAATGCATACAATACGTTGGAGGTGGTCAGTGCTCTGAAGGAAAAGAACAGGGAAAAAGGATAGAGAGTTGTGGGGGTGAAAGGGGGAGTAGGCATTGCAATGTAAAATAAGTGGCTCAGAGAAGGCTCACTGAGGAAGGGACCTTTGAGCCAAGACATGAAGGACATGAGGGAGTGAGCCATGTAGATATCTGGGGGGAAATTGTTTCAGAGAGAGAGAACAGCAAGTGCAAAGGCCCTGAGGCATAAGTGTCCTTGAGATGTGTGAGAAAGACAAGAGTTAACCTGGCAGAGAGTGGGATGGAGGACTTGAGGTGAAAGCAGTGGAGGGTGGAGGTGAGCAGACCCTATGGAGCTGTGTGGGACAAGGTGAGGATTTGGCTTTTATTCTGAGTCAATACAGCCAGCACCCAGAAGGCACTGATGAGGCCAGGTAAGTAGGGCCAAGGTACCAAGTAGGACTGAAATGATAGCGGAATGCTCCAATTATCATGGTTAAAATCACGCCTTCATATTTACTGTTATTTAATGAGGAGTAGGACTTTCTGAACAATGCAGCTGTTTGTCTATGAGGTTTTTAAATGTAATTTTTAACCACAAAGCTTATACTGTTTATGCAAATTGTGCATGTGGTTTCTTATAGCTTTTTAAATAGTTAAAAATAAAAGCTTACCAACATCCTTTCTTTCTCCCTCTCCCTTCATGAAAAATAGCTATTATATTTTGTAAAGAATTTGAATAGATGATAGATAGATGGATAGATAGATGAAAAATCACTTTGTGGATATACCACAATTTATTAAACCATTTTCCCACTGCTGGGAACTCACTTTTCCAGTTCTTGACCACTATAAACACATATGCCCTTATATAACCAGTATCTTCATTCTATGCCCTAGACCCCCAGGAGTAGGAGTGAAATTCTATAGATGCTGCCATATTGGCTCTCCAAGGCAGCAATGCATCCCATTCCCCGAACAATGCAGGAGAACTTTCTATACATATATCTTGTTACTCCCCTGCATGAGTCCTCAGTGTGCCCCCACTGACCACTCCCCCATAAGTTAAAATTCCTGAGGCTCAGATGGGGAGTGTCCAAGATCTGGCCCCAGCCTCCCTTCCCACACATCTCCCTTTTCCACCTTCCCTCATATCTTAGCACCCCCACCATAGACACACTATACTCCAGGCACTCTCAACCTTCCTGTTTCTCAAGCGTGGCTCTCTTTTACAGTCTCCCCCATGGCCTTGCACAGACAATTCCTCTCAGATCAGAATTCCCTTTCCTTCTTCTCTACCTGGCAAGCTCCTATTAACCCTGCAATACCCGGCTCTCGTGTTACTTTCTCTGAAGAGCCTCAGTCAGAGCTTATCAGCTGCCCCCCAGGACCCCCACCTCTCTGTGCATCCTCCATTGGAGCACTAATAACATTCTATTGCAATTTGTATGTTTGTCTGAACTCTCCAAGTCCTGTGAGGGACATCCCTCGTGTCTGGTTTATTACCAGCGCCTGACATATACCAGCTACACATCTGAAAGAGCGGCAGGCATTTACTGCCATACCTCTGCAGAAGACTCCACATGCCTCCACCATTCCACCTCCCCAGGGAGTGCCCCACGAACAATGTCAACTAAAAAGAATGCACAACCTAAAAATTGAGAATTATGTTTTATTTGGCGGACAAAACTGAGGACTTCCAGTCTGGGAGGCAGCCTCTCAGAACAGCTCTGAGAGACTGCTCCAAAAAGGTAAAGGAGGAACCAGGATATAGAGGAGTTTTTGCAACAAAGACCAAATAGTCAGAACATCACAACATTACTGTTAAATAAAGATAACCAGACATCTCAGGTTAATGAATTTAGCACTTTACTGTGTATGGGAAGATGCAAGAGTCTGGGCTCACTGAAATCATTCCTTTGATATGTACCTTAGCTATCTAGGGCCAGTATCCTGTGCTTTCCCATCCTGCGTCCCCTCAGGGTGGCTGCAGAGGCTGAGGGCTTGACTGCGGGCAGCCCGTTTTTCTCCATCCTGAGTTCCCTCGGGGCTCACCTTTGCGGGCGGCTATAGTGGCTTGATGGCTGCAACATCCTTTGTTTACTGACATGGCAGGCAACGTTTTTCATTCACGACAACATGATTGGAAAGGTGATATAGAGGATGGAAAAGTCTATGACCCTCATGTTCTAGAGATACAGAACAGGGAGGCAAACTGACCTAGGGGCTTTTAGGGGGCAACAAATGAACTAGTCACTCACTCACTGACTCATTCTCTCCATAAACACTTTGCTGTGGACATCTGTTGTTTTTGTCTTCCCAGCATTCTCCCTCCTTCTGCCATCAGTAGCAAAGACGAGTTCTATTAGCTGCCTCTTGGGGCAACCTAGACTTCAGCGTTTCTCTCCTCTTTGGGGAAAGCCCCTCCTCCCAAACACAGAGTGGTCCCCCAGGGGAGATGTCTGCGCTGTGTGAAGACACCCTTGGCCATAGCTGGTGGTTAATCCATGGGTGGGCTCCTGAACCAAGCTGCATGAATCCAATTCCCTCTCCCCAAACTGAGAAGCTTAGAACCAAGAGTTACACAGACTGGAGTTGTTGGACGCAGGTCACATTCGTGACGGCAAATTCCGTTGTTCCACCAGGAACTCCAGCATCATTTGGGGACTGGGAAATAAGGCCAAGAGTTAACTTCCATTGCTTGCAACCAAAGGAAACTTTTCTAAAGCACACATTCACAAATAACTAAGCAGAGTTGAGTCGGTGCCATCCCTTAGAGAAAAGATTTTCTGGGAATTCAAAGAAGGGAGCTACTCCTTTCAGTTGGAGATCAGGGGACGGTTCATGTAGAAAGCGGCATTAGAGCTGGGTAGGGTTCGGACACACGAAGACAGTGGGAGAATCCTCCAGGGTGCGGCAGACAACAGGACAATGAGTAGGTTAGTTGGGCTAGAGTTATATATTCTGGAAAAGAGGCTGCTGTGAAGGGCAGATCTGGAGAAGGGGGAAAGCCCTGATCTTGAAAAACTTTGAAGCCAGAGTAGGGGTTGGGCATTTATGCTGAAAGCCACAAGAAGCTATCCAAGGGTGGCAGGCAGGGCAACAGGGGTAGAGACCAGTGGAGTTGAAAGACTCCTACCTAAATCACAGCAGCTGGAGCCAGCACCCAGCACAAAGGGAACCCATGGTGCTGGGGTGGGCTCTTAGCATGTCTCCCTGTGGAAGAGCTCTGGGGTCCTCATGGGGGAGTTACTCACACCCCCTTACTTCTGGCCTGGGTGGGAAAGGGCCGTGGAAGAACCAGGTAGAGAGAAAAAGGGAGTCAGAGCCACCACATGCCTCTAGTGTAAGCCCATCCCAGGAGGCCTGATTAGATTCCAAACTCATATTTTCATCACCCGCCTTCACCCCCAACTCACACGCAGGCATTACTCAGTTCTTGCTCTTTAAGATCTTTAAAAATTAGAAAGAAAGTGGGATTTTAGAAGCTGTGTTGATTAAAATCCTAGCTGATTTATCACTCTGCTGGTAAGAGAAATGGAATGACGAAACTATTGATTTCCCCAATGTTTGTGCATTTGTGCCCATGCGTGTCCGTGTTTGTGGATATGAACTCATTCGGGTGTCTGTCTATATTGTCCGTGCGCCAGTGTCTGGGCGTCTGGGTGAGAGTTTGTGTATCTCTACCTGCGTAAATACTCAGATGAGTTTGTGTGTTTACTGGTTTTGTGCCAGAGAAACTCGATGATTAAAAACGGATGGGGTGGGGTGGGGCTTGAGCATGGACTGCACTTAATCACTCAATT